AGCAGGCAAGCATTTCATCGATTCTCATGCTAATTTACACTTAGAATCAAACCATTCCCGATGATCTACAGAGAAAGCAAAAATTAATGATTAGCTTACATAGATTGGGTTGAATATTTTACTTATATGAAGAGCTTATATACATGCCTTGAAACGATATTCAGATTTCCCTCAATTATTGTGAAAACATCCATTAAAAATCATGTTTCTAAACAATACTTAAACATGAATATAAGAAATAAAAGTCAAAAGACAGAAAACATACGGCATGATTTCAGCTTTGTGAAAGAAAAACACACACATGTACAGAAAAAAGATCAAGAAATATAATAAAATGCTAACAGTGGTTCTGGATAACAGGATTATACATAATATTTTAATTTTTTTCTGTCATTTCCAAATATAAAAAATTTATTGTGTTTTATAAAAAGAAAAAAGTGATATACTTTAGTAAAATAAAAAATAAAAATTTCTAAATTAACTTAAGGGATAGTATTCAAGTACAATGATGAATTATAATCTATCTGGTATATGATATAGTGACAGGCCATGGGAATTGGGATGAGATGAAAGGAAATTCTAAAGAAATATAACTTGTAATTCCATTTGCTTTTTAAAAAAATAAGAAATGAAGATATAGGGAAACAATATAACTACAAAGGCAGAATACTAAATAATCTGAATGACCATCAATTACATTGTTTCAACATGGAACAATCTAACCTCAGATGGTAGAATGAATTTCAATTAGTCAACTGAGGTATCAAAAATCATTTTTTAACTGTACCTACTGAAATAAAGGAGTATACATGGAGTATTTATAAAATAGAGTACACATTTTGGTTGAGTAAACAATCACAACTAAATGAGCAGGAGAAAAAAGACCCACAAAGCAGACTGACATCCTGGGAGCTATCAAGTTCAAGCACTCCTGCCCACCCAAAGAACTGTGAGCAGAATTGTGTATCATTTCCATTTTCTACAGAAATAAACTGACATAAAGATTCAAACTTGAGGCTAGAGCTCAGTTAAAGCTCCAATAATTCTGTAATATTTAACAGATAACATACCTACAATTGTACAGAAAAAATACCTATAATTTGCCTCATATCCCACCAACGACTTAGAGCCACTCAGAGGAATGAATAGTCACAGGCACTGGAACTACCAGATACAGAGCATCTTCCATATGCAGAGGTTGTTACAAACACTGAGGCTTTGAGATAAAAATTAAGAAAAAGGACAGATACAGTATAAGGTCCAAGTTGGTTGCTGTTTTTAAACATTCTTGAATTGCGTAAGAATTCTCTACTCAAATTCTGAAATACTGATGGGAGATGTGGAGAGTTTATGCAAATGGATGACCACAACTTTACAAAAACAGAAATAGGAAGTTAATTCCTTAAGCGAAAAGTCAGTTGCTGTCATTCAATGAACCCCTTTCATGACAAATGTGATTTAGTGATCATACTGTTAACACCTGCAAAGAATAATTTTACTTAACTGCTAACAAACTTTTAAAGTAACCCCGACAGACTTCTCCTGAAATTGGAATACAGAAGATTAGTAAACTGAAGAAATAAATCTCTTTGGTTCACCACTTTTTGAAAAGGTTATCAAGAAGAAAAATAAAGTTATTCCTTAATCACATCAACTATTACCTACCAATCATTTTTACAAACCAAGTGGCAAAGGAAATTCAACATTCTAACCTAAGGAGGAAGGGAAAGAATTAAATGATTATTAAAACAAAAATGTAAGTCACTGGCAGTTACTAAGCCCAAGTTCAAAATGGATGTTAAAACACTACATCTAGATTAACTGAACAATAAACTTAAGTCAGAGATGGAAAATTGTACAAAGTTACCCAATATAAAATAAAACCACTTTACGGTATTATTTCAAAATAAAAAATATATATAAATTTATTTTTAAGGAAAGTTTGAAGCACATTGTTGGCCATATAAACACCAAAGCTCCTGGTGCATTTCCAACATATAACAAAACCCAGTAGGACCCAGAGGCTTTGCCATGACACATGTACACACACACCTAGTATCTGGGGACAGTGATCCCTCGGAAGACGCTCCGTGGTACACACTCTGAGACAACCTGTTGTCGGGTCTAAGCTCTTTGTCATATGCCATCATATTCCACTCCTGGCGCCTGTTTCTGGCTTTTCTAACCTTTTTCACCTCACGGGTGGTGCCATCTATACGCTTTTGCTCCTGATGTCCAGGAAAGAAAGGAAGCGTGCCAAGACAGAAGGGAAAGTAAAACAGCAGGTTAAATGCAGTTATAATGCACAGGAAACAAGCCTGATGTGCAGACAAGAGACATCCCCATTTTAGTCACGCTAATGTTCAGAAAATTAACACAGCATATATCTCTCTTACCCAATGGAGACCCAACAAAAAATAACTGATGCTTAACTACTTAACCTAAATAAAAGTTGCTGTGCTACAAGAGTTGCCTACCATCATTTTTGGTAAAGAATTCTCACTTTTACTAGGCTTTTAGTTTATTTTAAATGTACTATACCTTTAAGATCTGTATTATACAGATGGAATATTTGAGAATACAGAGAAATCATTTCCCATCAGTACACAATGGCTTGTTAACTGCAATCATATCTAAGAAAATAATTCAAAATGTTCTATTTCCAGTTTCTAAAAGATTACTATAGAATATTCAAGCTAATCCTGCAATGAGCTTAACACAAAATAAGAACAAGATAATAACTTACCTTCCCATATAAACATCCTTGCTCCAACTCTACTTTGCCAGCACAAATGTATCCAAAAATACTGGGTCCTACAGTATTTTCAAGGTGCCTCTTGAAAGGTGAGAACAGTTATTTCTATGTGTGTTTGTTTCTCCTGCTTCCCTCAAATACTTTATGATCTTTAAGAACAAGAACTGTGTGTTTTAAGCCTACATTGCTCTTACAGGAGGAGCTCCACAGGTGGTTTCGCAGTGAGTACACGCTCAGTTAGTGCTGATGGAAAGACCAGACCCAAGCAGGCTTATGCTGCTCACTATGTCCCGGGCACCATGCCAGGCACGGATACAAACGGCAAACCAAAAAAAACAGGCACCTGCCCTCATGGAGCTTGTAGTCCAGCAGGGGAAGCCTCTCCTCTAAAAATCATACAAGTAAATGTATAATGATAAAATCTGGCAAAACATAAATGTATCACATACAAAGTACTGTCTAGACTGGGAGTGCACGGCGTGATTGAGAGACAAGATGTGTAGTATGAGTAGGCATGAGTTCTGCAGACAAGTTTGGGTCAGATGCATGCCGGGAGGGGACAGAATGTGCACCAGCTCGGAGGAGGGCCAGCATTACATCAGGAGAAGTGAAAGAAGGTAAATGGGGAATCAGGGTGAATGGCTCCCAATATCTGAAAGGTGGGCAAGATCTCAAAGGCTGTATTAAAAATGTTCTCTATGCAAGAGCAATGGCAAAGTGCTGAAGAGTGACAAGGGGGTGATGGCAAACTAAAGAGGGGTTTGGAAAGGCTCCCAGGGGAAAGGCAGGGGCACCAGTTGGAAAGCTAGCTAAGTGGTCTAAGGGAAAGGATGGCAGTGGCTCATGGGTGGTGGTGAAGCCACAGCCAGACTGTGTCACGAGGTATTCAAGTGGGGAAGCAATGGACCGGTAAAGGACATGAGTGTGAAATCACAGAACAAATATAAATGGGTAATAATGATATGAAAAGATGTCTAATGCCAATTAGATTGGGGGGGGTCATCAAAATAATAATAATAATAATAATAATAATAATAATATCCAAAACTAGAGGTGGCCCATTAAGAAAATAAATTGGTTCAGTCTTTTAAGGATCAAAGGCATTATGATGGTATCTTTCAAAATTTTAAACTCACATTCAACTTGCAGGAATTCATTCCAAAGAAATAACTGCAGGGGAGGGAGCACAGCGATACCCACTGTGGTGTTAGAACAGCAGCAACTTAGAAACAACCTAAATACGCACAGATATAGGAATGGGTAGTTCAAAACGCAGCCATACTTTGGAATTCTACACAACTATTAAAAAGAGTAAAGTACATCTTTTATTATGTCAACATGTGCCTATGTTCCTGTGTGTAAATCATATGTAGCACAACTCTACATGTATAAAGAATACTTAGTGAAATGAGTATGCATATATTTATGAATGCTTAAAATGTCTAAAAATATGCACACCAAACTGTTAACAGTGGCTGTTTATCTCCAGAGAAGGGAGAAACTTATCCCCAAATTCTCTAATGTATTTACTTCAGTATAACTTGGACATTTTAAACCAGCACGTATTGTTTGTATACTTTAAAAACCAACAGAAAAAAAAAGAGGAGGGAGGGAGATTTCATGGATTCCAATATACATCCTGAATGAGAACTGCTGAATTAAATTAACAATTATCACACTTACTTCTAAGAGATGTATGTTGACATATTTAGGGATTAAGTGTTACGATATCTGCAACTTAACTGACAATGGTTCAGCCTCTAAATTTACCCCATCAACATGCGTTGGGCACACACACACACATGCACCAACTGTAAGGAATGTTCACAGTGATGCGTCTACACTCCAACCACACTGGACTACATTAAAATCCTGAGGATACACCAAACTGCTTCCTACCCGGGGATGATCTTGGCTACTAACTACTCAGAGTGCTCCTGGGTTCTGAAGCACCCTGCCTCATCTGCCCCAACTCCTGCAGCACCCCTCACCCGCACACATGCACACCACACACCCACACTTACTTTGTTTAGCCACCTTCTACCATCCATCTTGGGTATCACCCTGAGAGAGGTCTTCTCTGACACTGTTCCATTTACATTGTTGAGATACCGCAGGGCAACGGGGACAAGGGTCATGTTATTGTAAAATCTACTTAGCCTGCGAAAAAGGACCATCTTTTCTTTAACTTAATCTATATGATGTTCTTCCTCTTCTTCCAGACCTTTAATCAATTAAGTAACTTTGTAACCAGGACAAGAGATAAACCTCCAAAGTGTAAATGAACCTATGGTAAAGAATGCCGAGATCTGGATCAACACTGTCACTTAAATAACTCTGTTCATAAGACGAAACTTCAAAGGAATTATGAATCATCTGTATACATCACACCTTAAGCTGACCCTTACCCAAAAAGCCCTATAAAACCCCAAACCCTCAACCCTTAAGCGCACCCCCTCTCTGAGGTCGCCTGCACTCCCACCTGAGTGTATA